ATTTCTATAAATTAGTTAGTAGTTTAGTATTAGAATCTGATTCTTCTAGATTAGTTTCACATAATTATAGATTAGCTTATACCAATAGTTTTTTTATAGATTCACATAATTTAGACATTAATATAGATGATAAAAAATATGAATATATCTTGGCTCTCAATATCCAGTTTAGTCGACCAACTATTGGAAGAATTGCCAGAAAAGTTCGAACACACAACAACCTAGTAATACAACATTTTATCTAATCTGATGCTCATGATAGTCTCTCATCTCTTTATAATGAAAGAGCTATCACAAAATGCAAAGGATGTGAATTGAATAACGATAAGCTTTTAAATAGCTATCACAACCTTCTTATAGTTAAAAAAAATTTTGGCTTTCTTTTCCTTTAATAACTTGTGTGCAAGGCTATTATCCTGATCTTGTTATTCCAATTACTAAAGCTTCGAAAGCCCATCCAACCAAAGGAAATATTTTTCTAAAAACTTCAATCAAGGACATCTTTCAATCCCTCCCATTCATACTTAAGAGGAAAAATACCATCCGCTATACTCAACAATTTACAGAGGTTTCAAGCATTCCTGATGTTGACTCACATCCACCCAAGAATGTTGAGATTATTAAATGTTTAGTCATTGATCCTTTTCAGCAAGATCATTCCATTCAATTGACTACTAGTCTGCAATATCTATCCTCGCCGACATTTTACACTAATGGATCACTTTCTAATGCCTCTACCGACCTTTGTTCAATAGGTATAGGTTGGATTTATCCTGACCTTTATGAATTCACAATTTGTTCCTTTAATGCTTCTATCATTAACAATCCTTCATCCTCAAGAGCTGAGTTATTCGCTCTCATTTCAGCTGTTATTACCTGTCCTTCGGCTTCTTCTCCTCAGATTTTTACAGATAGTCAAACAATTATACAAGGTTTTAATCAATATATTACAAACAGCATATTAACTACAAGATCAAGAGAAAAAATTTCCAACTACACTTCATGGATTTTATTGCAACATATTATACAACAATTATCCTTAACCGTTACTCTTGTCAAAATTAAAGGACACTTTGGGAATCTTTTCAATGATAAAGCTGACATTCTGGCAAAAGATGGTTGCTCTCAGCCAATTTTTCAGCTTAATTATTCTGCCCATAGAGGAGCTACAACTGATGATGTTATTTAACAATACTCCAATTGACTTTTCTTCAAAGAAATTCTGAAAAGATCTCAATTCAGCTGAACACTTCTCCTCTTTCATTGATTTACAGAGAAATGCCTCTTTACTACAGCTCACAAGATCTTCTTCAGTATCCTGCATAGTCAGTGTATTGTCTTGTAAATTATAATTTTTAAGAGAAGGATGCCAGAACAACTTTTATCCAGAGAAACAAGAAGGCCTTCAAAACTAAAATACTTGTTGAAGAACTTCCTACGCTAAACAAGCTCATCGTATAATATCCAGATCTTTACAATAATTAGCAATATATCACCTGTGATAATGCAGCAGAAGATCTCAATCATTTATGGACCTGTCCTGCCAACCAAGCCACCATTATTAATCTTAATGCCTCATTATGGAGTTTTTTAGAACAAACGATCATCAGCAAGTTGGGCAAGAATCCTGTTTGTCTATTCCTGTTTCAGTCATTAAAATCTCAGCTTTACAACTGTGTTGATTTTCTATTTTGTTCAGATTCAGTTTATCTTTTAACAAAAGGATAATCCCTTCTGAACTTTTTCACTTATTACGTTCCTTATTCGCTTCAGTCAACACCTCTCTCATCATTGGCTCAACAACCAGTCATCTTATTTAAGTATTTCATGATATGATCTGGGTTTCTCAATGTAATAAAATAATTGATAAGGAAAGGTCTGTAAGGATTTCTTCAAGACAAAAAAGATTGAAGAAAAAGAAGAAAAAGAAACCAGCTACGACTACCTGCACCACTCACACATCTACCACCCAGCTTCCTTCTCAGAAATTGGATAAAAATTCAGTGACTTGGAAGTCTTGGTTAACTTTGGCCATAAAGTTCGGTAACTCTTGGTTAGATTTCATTAATAGGTACTGATAATTTCATTTGAATTTCTTTATGATAACTTGATCATCAAATATGGATTTTTTGGTTCTGTTGAAAGGGAATTCTGGTGATTAGTCGATCTAAACTAGTTTGAGCTATTTTTTAGTAATAGAATCACATGTGATAGTCATAGTTTTATCTTTTTATTTTTACTTTATTTTTATTTTAATTTTATTGTAATAGCATATAAAATTTAATAAACTTATGACAGTACTACATCGTTAAAAAAAACCATTTGATTCCTTGCAACTTGACAGATCTAATGAGCTAACATTCATTGAATTTGGATCATCCAATTACGAGATAATCACAATCGTATTATCGGCCAAAATTATGAATCAATAAATTCTACTTTAAATAAAGAAGTCTAGATTTCGAACTACGATCGCGAATATCTTGAAATGGGCTGATCCGAAATCAATGAATGTTAGCTTATTGGATTTATCTAGTCACGGGGAATTGAATGGTAGTTGTTTAATATGAATCAGAGCAATATTGACCGAGTTCGTACATCTTTTGTTTTTTTTTGTTTTTTCTATATATAAAAAATCATGTGATATGATGTAATTTCGACCATTTCGACTTTTCATTTCGATTTTGACCTCCAAAGTCGAAACATTTTGACTTTTGGGTTTCATTTCGACTTCATGTATAGGTATCACTATATCTAATGGATTTTTAATTGAAATACTTATCTTTGTAATATTGCTTATAACTTTATTATCATCAAAGGTATTTCCATTTCTATTTCAAATACAGTATTCTCATTTGAAAACTCTTCAGCATTTGATAGTGCTTTATCAGCTAAATCAAAAATCCTTTCTTTGATAATTGGAATAGTCCAGCTTAAAGTTACATATGTATTTCCAGAAAATTCACATGTTGCATTCTCAAATGGCATTAATAAATCAATAAGTTGATCTAACAAATCCCATTCTTTATTAGAAAGCAAAATCCTTTTCAACTTATTGCCATCTTTTTTACTTTTCTGATCAGTTGATGTACATAAATCTGTTTGGAGTTGAATAATAGCATCTTTTAAAAAAAAGGTGATTTCAAGTATAGTAAGACGAATTCCAGCAGGTAGATACATCTTGAATGCAACGCATAATATCTACATATATGAGCTTTCTTTGTATCTGCTCTAGTCTTTCCACTTGTTTTAATATTAAAAAAAACGAATTAATCTTTTTGCACATGTTACCAAAATCTCTGCCAGTGCCAATCCCTTTCTAATAGCCAATTAAATGGTATGTGCTGTGCAAGGAAAGCGTTGAATATTTCACACCCACTTTTCTGATTCAATAAAGGAAGCATTAAAACTATATTGGATCTGTTATCAGTGGTTATTGATATTACACGATTTTCAAGATTCCAATTCTTAATATATTCGTAAAGTTTATTAGCAACCATTTCACTGGAATATAGAGAAGAAACATAATTGATTTCTAGTATTACATCTTTAATTTGGTGTAATCCAGGTTGTAGTAACTTCCAAATATCTATGCTTAGTTTTACTAGACCAAAGATCCATTGTAAGTGAAATATTTTCTGCAGTTTCGGTAAGGAGATTTCGCAAATTTTCCAGATTATATTTACAACTTTTGACAATCATTATTTTGATTTTCTGCTCTCCCAGAACAACAAAAGAAGGATCAAATTCAGCCATTTTTTCTCTATATGCTTCGTTAGTAACCAATTAAGAGTTACTTCTTTCTGTCTCTTTTAAATATGTTTAGGATGAGGATGATAACTTCGTGCAAAATTTGTAATTTTGGAGTTTCGTAGCTAAAAAGCAATAATCTATTTAGTATAACATTCATAATGATATACATAATATCATGCTCAATTGCTTATCATACTTTTTTTGAAACAATTGTATCATCCTGATCAACAATTCCATGTTTGTCTCTAAGATACGCAATGAGATTTCCCGTTAAACTTCCAATATTCTTATATTCTTAGCCACATTTTTTACCACTTTTATCCAAAATTTTGCAAATCTTCACCTCATCACCTTTGTCATTAATGTTCTTTTCAAAATATTTCTGGATAAATAATGGATTTTTCGCTTGTATATATTCTTATCCTTAGAACTAGGATCAGCTTTTTTAAAAATTAATATAAAAAAAAAATTAGGAATTACTAATATATATACATATAGACAAAATCTATAATTTTTGTTAGTAATTATAATTTTGCCTTTTCTTTTTCTTTTGTTTTTTTGAAGAATTTGTGAAAAAAGAAAGAGTTGTTTGAGTGTCAAATAGCTTTCTAGTAGTTGCTGGTAAATGAAAAGTTTCATATGAAGTATCTGAACTTTCAAACGTTCTGGTCTTGCAATTCAAAAGTAGGATCTAAGTCAAAATTTTCACCAGGATAATAATCAAAAGTTACTATAGAAAGAACTTTAATTATTTTTAACGATAACTGATTTTTTCTAAAAATCAAAAGATAATAAAATTGTGAAAAGATTCAAAAATGAGTTAAAATAAATATGGAAAGAAACATGATTATATACATGTATAAAGGTAGATATAACGTGAAAATATGCTAAAAATAACAATGTATCAATGCAAATTGTGAAATGGGAGTTGTGAGAATGAAAAAATTTTTAACGTTATGTCAATCATGATTTCATATATGCAATTCTAATTACAATTCAGATGATCTGCAATCCTCAATCCGATGCATTTAAGGATCCATCTGTTTAAAATTATCAGATGCAGATATTCAAATTCAATTCAGATTATCAGATTAATCTAAATTGATCGGATTATGGATCATATCACTAGTTTATAGTTATTGCATCTAGGAATATAACTAGCTCTGGCTTTATAGCAAGAATGATATCATAAAAATCTCTTGCAGAAATACTAAAAGGAAGATTTGTTAATTTGATATGATATGTATTTCTATATTTAATTTCTTCTGGAGACAAAGTGCAAGGATTGATACGAATAGAATCATTCTGAACAAAACGACTCCATACTTGATAAAATAGCTCGATGCATTTAAGGTTTTCGCAAGTAATATAGGCATGTTACTACATACCTCTTACTATCATTTTAAAATCAGTAATAGTTCCATATTTGGCAAAAACTTGTTTGATATTGGCAGGCTTTATTTGTAATAGAATATCAATAATATGAATATTCTTTTCGTTAAATTGCATATCAGCTTTGTATTGAGAAAAATCATAGAAAGTATCGATCTTAAGATCAGGAATAGTCACGTGTAAAGTTGCGGCAGTCACATCTGATATTGTAAAGTAGACAATTACTGAACGTGCCAAATTGGCGTGACAAACTGAAACTCCTCTAAAATTGTTATTTTGAGTAAAAACATTATTGATGGCAAGAAGAATTTTGCTGTTGTTCTTTTCTTTAAGGTTTAAACTTGATATTAGCAACTGCAAAAGAAGTAGCTTTTGTAACAACAGTGAAATCTTTTAAGTCTTCTTCCATATCATTGTCTTCAAAATATTTGTCAGGATCCAAAAGTTTTGACATATCTTTAGATGAAAAAGAGTTTTCAGAGATATTATCAACTTTTATATTATTATTGTTATTATTATTCGAAGGTGGAATAACTGGTGGAAATTTGTTAGGGATGACAATTTTAGATATATCAAAAACTTCAAAATCCATTTCTTTATTTAGTATGGTGCATAACATCTATAGTCATCAAAATCAAATAATCCGAAATTTTTGAACGATGGTCATCATGTGACATTAACATGAGAGTCAATATTATTGGTTAATACTCACGTGATACAATCACGTGATTCAAATCTTATTGGATCAAAAAAAACTTTTTATTAAGAAACGCAACAAATTAATTCTTTAATTCTTCAAAAATGGTGTCTGGAATTCTTCTATAGGATTTGTACTTTTTAACGGCATATTCTGCCAATTTTCCGCTAATCCCTTTTCTATAAGCATCCATGTAACGCCAACATTTCCTTGCAAATTTTCTAATCATAATTAAAGGCACAGAGTCAAGATTTTTGGATGCAACTTTTTGTAATCCACTCCAAAAATAATTGCAATTCTCTCGTGCATATTTTTTAGAAGCTCCCCAATATCTTTCAATAAAGTTTAACTCACAGTGAAATTTCAGATAAAATATGCATTTATGTC